GCTACCACTCCTCCAGTGGAAGGAGATCCTCTGAGAAACCCCACAGGGTTTCAGGAGTAGAGATATTTGAGAGAGTGAGAGAGAATTAGAAGGAAGATTTTTGCCAGTAGGATTTTCTGATGTAAGAGACCTCCCGTATTCAACAGCAGTGGCCTACAAACATTTTTGACTGTGAGTCCACAATAAAAAATACGTTTATCCTGGGAACCAGCACCCACCTATGTATAAGTAAATATAAAAGTTTCACTAGCAGTGTTTACTCTTGTTATGCATAACGCACTCTGATATTTTCTAGTCTCTTCTTTTGTCTTCGTTGCAGTTTTAGTACAGTGCCAGCTGATTGGTGGCTAAGGCCCTGGGTAAGGGCTCTAGCACATACCTGTCCTGCATCCTTGGGCAGGTTCCTTCCCCCAAGTTCCTCAGGTGTAAAGCAGACTTGTACCTCCTCATTGCATGGGTAAAGTTTGTAGAGGTGTCTATGTCTAGCGAGGTCCCTGGCACACAGTATATTTCTGTACATGCTAGTTAAATATGACAAAATACATCTGCATGGGTGTAAGGGATCTCTACAGAGTTGATGGTACTCTTGTTGATCTGACTCACAATTTCCCAGCTGTTTACATTTGGTGGCTCATGTCTCCAGCTGTGTGTATATGTTATAGCTGTATGTGTATTTCACTTCCCAGCCACTCTATGTATGTAAACACACATACACACTCCCTTCCCTTTCCACAGTGGTCTCCGTCACCTCCCCACTCTCCCAGGAGGAGGATATCCAACCTCCAGGGCACCAGTGTCAGTGATCATGCCACATAGAGACTTGCAGACCCTGCTGAAGAGAAGTTACAATCTGTATCCACATCCAGCAGTATAAATTGGGAAGAAATAAAGACATTTAAATGCACTTAAATATTTTTGTAGTTGTACATAATTAAATGTGGTACACCTATTTTATATTTTCTACTAGTTTGAGATGCTTATCCTTATATTTAAAAAAATTGATAACATAACTGGGCTTTTCTAACAAGGACCATATCATTCTCTTACTTAGCTTTTGCCTACCTCTCCCTCACCAATCTCCCATGTCTACATTGTCTGGAATTTTACTTTCTGATTTTTATTCAAAAATTTAAAATCAGGGACTTGCTGGGTGGCTCAGTGGTTAAGAATCCACCTGCCAATACAGGGGACATGGGTTCGATCTCTGGTCTGAGAAGATTCTGCATGCTGTGGAGCAACTAAGCCCGTGCACCACAACTACTGAGCCTGTGCTCTAGAGCCCGCGAGCCACAACTACTGAGCCCATGTGCCACAACTACTGAAGCCCACACGCCTAGAGCCTGTGCTCCGCAACAAGAGAAGCCACTGCAATGAGAAGCCCACACACCGCAACGAAGAGTAGCCCCTGCTCACCGCAACTAGAGAAAGCCTGTGTGCAGCAACGAAGACCCAACGCAGCCAAAAAAAAAATTAAAATCAATACTTATTTCAATTCAATAGGTTTCAGTAAAATTTGTCTTCTATTGCTTGTTGCATTCCACTATATTTGAGTGTATTTTCTTCCAGGAGTGCATCCTTTTTATAAAAAATAAATTTATTTATTTTCATATTGAGGATAAAATTTATTTATTTTATCATCTGTGTTTATTCTGATTTTCAATCCATATATCCTCCCTGCCCAACAGTTGTGTTTTTATTTCTAAGATCCATAAAGCCCTTTTTCATAACTGCTCTTATTCTGAAACTGTCTGTTCTTGTTTCATGAATGCCATATTTTCTCTGATCTCTGAGTATTTTAATTATACTTGAAAGTTTACTCTGACTCCTGTATAACTCTGCTTCTTCAGGTATACATTCTTCCATTTGTTGAGTCTGTATTCTCTTCTATAATCTTGTCTTTCCTCAAATATTTGGCATTTGAGGAAATGTCTAGAGGGAGGATGGTGCTGCTTCCACCTCTTTTTTTTTTTTTTTTTTTAGTGGTACGCGGGCCCTCACTGCTGTGCCCTCTCCCGTTGCGGAGCACAGGCTCCGGACGCGCAGGCTCAGCAGCCATGGCTCATGGGCCCAGCCGCTCCGCGGCATGTGGGATCTTCCCGGACCGGGGCACGAACCCATGCCCCCTGCATCGGCAGGCAGACTCTCAACCACTGCGCCACCAGGGAAGCCCAGCTTCCACCTCTTGAACTCTACACACATTGCAGTGATAGTTAGGGAAGGTCACAGTACTTGGAGGGGGTACTGTGGGTGCTTCCTGTTCCTTCTGGGCATCAGTGCCTCTAGGGCACTGCCCTCTCTCTCATACCTACACTCCTACATTCAGTGCTCCCACTTGGAGGATAGTCTAGTGTGTATGTAGGTGCAGAGTTTATCTGCTTGGCTCTTCTCACTATGATTCTCCAAATAACAACCCTGTTGGTTGTTTTCATGTCCTTTCCTGTTTGAGTTTCCAGTTCTACCTTTTCCAGCAGAACCCTACCATTCATAATCAAGGGCTGCAGGTTCCCCCTTCAATCTGATCTTTGTGCTTCTTAGGGATTTCTCAGTAATTTGTCAATTTTGAGTTTTCTCTTTGGTCTCAAGCTCAGCTATCCGTGTTTATTTGTTCATCTATTTATTTATTGTTGATGCCTTTTCTATTGTGCTTAGGGATTCAGTATGGGAAGGGGAGACTGTGACATGTTCTTAGTCTGATATTTTTGCAACTGGAAGTCCTGTTTTCTTTTTCAGTTCATGTCCTGCTTTTACTAAGATTGACTTGTAATGACAGTACTGCAAGTATAGCATATAATCCCTGATGAAGAAGCAGAAAGCTGGTCATCTTCTGGGTGGTTTAATTCCACATCACTCTGTCTAGGGCATATCATCCGCAATTTGTTGAATTGGGTTAAGTTGAATGGGAAAAGTGTGTGTGGGTAGGATGGGAGTAAAATGTTGCTTATAGTGGAATAGTGTCTGTGTACATCTACAGCTACTTGCTTTTTCTTTATTCATTTACTGTTTTACCTGAAATTTATGTACTTCCATGCACCTATTGCAAAGTGAAACATCAAAATATTATATATAGTAAATGAAATTTCCTAAGATTCTATCAGGTAGTAACCTGTGTTTTAGATAATTGTAGAACTTCGGGAAAAATTCTTAGTTGCAATAGGGAAATAAAGGATTACTTTCCAGTCTGTATTGGATTATGCTTAGATCAGGACCAGGGTCTGAGAAAGACATAACGAGGTGTAGCTCAGAAGGAAACAAAAAAGAAATGTAGAAAATTAATATACGCATATTTTTTTTCCTATATTCTGCCTTTTTTCTTAAAATGTTGGTTTATTTTCTTGATCTTTCTCCAAGTTTCATACTGGGTCTTTTTTTAAATTATTTATTTATTTATTTATTTATTTATGGCTGTATTGGGTCTTTGTTTCTGTGCGAGGGCTTTCTCTAGTTGTGACGAGCGGGGGCCACTCTTCATCGCGGTGCGCGGCCTCTCTTGTTGCACAGCACAGGCTCCAGACGCGCAGGCTCAGTAGTTGTGGCTCCGCGGCATGTGGGATCTTCCCAGACCAGGGCTCGAACTCGTGTCCCCTGCATTGGCAGGCAGATTCTCAACCACTGCGCCACCAGGGAAGCCCCCATACTGGGTCTTTTATTTTTCTTTACTTATATTTTTGGGTCAGTCATGAAGCCTTAATTCCAGAACATTTTTATCACCCCAAAGAAAACACATACCCATTAAGAGTCACTTCCAATTTCCCCCTCCCTTTAGCCCCTGGCAGCCACTAAGTACTTTCTGTTTTTATGGACTTGTCTATTGTGAACATTTCATGTAAATGGAATCAAACAATATGTGACCTTTTGTGTCTGTCTTCTTTCATTTAGCGTAACATTTTTGATGTTCATCCATGTTGTGGCATGAATCAGTACTTCATTCCTTTTCAATGGCTGAATAATATTCCATTATATGAATATACAACATTTTGTTAATCCATTTAACAGTTGATGGCCATTGGATTTTATCTACTTTTTGGCTATTATGGATTGTGCTGCTGTGAACATTCATGTACAAGTTTTTGCTTGGACATATGTTATTTCTTTATTCCTAGGAATAGAATTGCTGGGTCATGTGGTGACTCGAATGTTTAACCTTTTGAGGACCTGCCAAACTGTTTTTCAAAGCACACCATTTTACATTATCACCAACAGTTTAAGAGGGTTCCCATTTCTCTACATCCTCACCAGCACTTGTTATTGTCTGTCTTTTTTATTTTAGCCATCCTAGTGGGTATGAAGTGGCATCTTACTGTGGTTTTCATATGCATTTCCTTATGGACTAATGATGTCGAGCATCTTTTCATGTGGTTATTGGCCATTTGTGTATCTTTGGAGAAATGTCTATTTAAATCCTTTACACATTTTTTATTGGCTTATCTTTTTATTGTTGAATTGTAAGAGTTCTTTATATATTTTGGATACTAGACCCTTATCACATATATTATTTGCAAATGTTTTCTCCCATTCTTTGGGTTGTCTTCACTTTTTTGATGTGTCCTTTGAAGCACAAAAGTTTTAAATTTTGATGAAGTCCAAAATTGTTTCTTTGAGGTGTAACTCAAACAAGCTTCTCTTTAGTGCAGAGACTGATGATCTGGGCAAAGAAGGACCTTGCTCTGGAATGCTAAGACTGGATTCTCTCCTCCCATAGTCTGCTCCAGGAAACCTCTGCGCTTCCCACTCCAGAGTCCCTGCTCGTGATGGGGAATATCCCAGGTCTTCTGGCCCTCTGAAATTGTGTGAGAGGTGGTGATGCAGCATTTTTCAGGGTATTGCACTTTCTAAAAGCTGGCCCCTCCATGAGCAGGGTGATGGAGTTAGCGTTCTCTAGCGTATCTGGAAACGTAGCATTGTCTGTGGATCATAAATCTCATCTGAGGCGGAAGTGAAACTCATCTCATTAACCGCTGTGACAGCATCTCACCCTCATTCTTGTTTTGTGGTTTCTCCAGTTCTGGACTTTAGCGACCCCTTCAGCACAGAGGTGAAGCCAAGGATCCTGCTCATGGGCCTGAGAAGGAGTGGCAAGTCATCCATCCAGAAAGTTGTCTTTCATAAAATGTCTCCCAACGAAACCCTGTTCTTGGAAAGTACGAACAAGATCTGCCGGGAAGACGTTTCCAACAGCTCCTTTGTTAATTTTCAGATTTGGGACTTCCCAGGGCAGATTGACTTTTTTGACCCTACCTTTGACTATGAGATGATCTTCCGGGGGACAGGAGCACTGATATTTGTCATAGACTCCCAGGTAAGGCTCAGTCTCGGGGTACGGTGGGACTGTAGCCCCCTGCCCCAGGCAGCCCCTTCTTGCAAACAAGTTCCTTTGCAATCATTTTGGTTTGGTTTTTAGAGTCAGGAATAGGACTTTTTACCTGACTGGCATTTCTCAGTTGGGGCTCTCAGGCTTTGCAAAGGGGAAAAGGCTCCCTTCACGCAGCCCTGACCAACATGCGATGTTCGGGAACTGTGTGCTCTTAGCAAACCCTAGAGGAAACCTCACAGACGGCGGGCAGGGGGGACCACCGTGCAGGCCAGTGACACCAACGATGTGTCCCCCACTCTGGTACTCTTGGCAGACATCTATAAAAGATCACAAGTTCTCTATAACAAAAATACACATATATCTACATTTCAAAATGTTTACTATTTCCTTTGAAGATAAATTTCTAAGTGTGAACATTTTTCTTCTGAATCATTATTGTAATTACTACTAGTACACAATTACAGCAGCGTGACTACTATGTATTTTATAGGTAACTAAATACAAAATGTAAAATTTGAGATACATATATATTTTTTTCCACTTAATTCATGTATCTATGCTTGACTAAGACAGGATTTGGCATCAATTCTTTTTTTGTTTTGTCTGAGAAACCTTGTTCACATAAGGTGGGTATGGGGTGAGTTTTGTTCTAGCGTTCACTCAATTGTTTAACTCCTTCTAAGTTATCTCCCCTAAACTACCCAATTTTCTATCACAAAAAAATTATTTTTTCATAGTTTATCAGTAGACATCCTGATTGTGTCCTCCTTTAACTTTGCTGAAAGCAAAGAATTGGGAGCCCCTTGACTGGTGAAGAACCTTATCACCCAGGCATTGCTCACTTTATTGGTATTCAGACTAGCCTTCTGAATGGTCTCTTCGGCACGCTGGGTTTTTAAGACCCTGGGCCTTTCTCCTGTGAAGTATGGGCAGAGCTGGTGGTTTAAGGGGAGGAGGGGAAGGGAAGCAGCAGGACCACAGATGCATCTCCGGCAGGTCAGTCTTAGCAAAGAGCACAGGTAGCAGGACTGGGACATTGACATTGACGTTCTTCAAACTCTCCATGTGCAGGGACTCTTAGAAAGTGTCCCCAATGGGTGGCCCAGCCCGAAGGCCCTCCTGAGGGCTCTCTTTTGTAGCTGTGGGGGAATAAAAGGCAACAAGTCCTGCAGGAATG